GGACGATTTTTAAGTTTTTTCAGTTGTCCTTCACAAGAACATCTTTTTTTAGTTGTCCCCTTAACCCTTTAACATTTTATACTTGCCCCAAGGGTTTCGCGCCCCATACTTTTGTATTTCCCATATTTTTACGTGTAGCCTCTTATAAGATGGAAACCATTGTCAAAGAATGCCTTATACCCATAAGGGTTATTTCATTAGAAACAAAAATGGTATATCTTATTTTCAGAAAATAATGGGTTTATTTTAGTGTTTATTGGTAGTCGTTGAGTATACAGTAGTTAAGGGTTTACGGCTGTATTTGTTTAGTGTTTAGTAATTTAAAGAAATTAGTTTGTCCTGGTTATCATAGTTGTCCTACTTGTCCTAGTTGTCCAAATTGTCATAGTTGTCCTAGTTGTTCTAGTTGTCCAAATTGTCATAGTTGTCCATGTTGTCCTAGTTTCTCACAGTTGTCCCAATTGTACCAATTGTCCACTTTCTACTATCTTCTTTTGTCCTATTTGCACATAATTGTCCTAGTTGAACCTAGTTGTCCTAGTTGTTCGTAGTTTGCCTTTTCACCTAATTGCACCTAGTTGCCCTGTTGACATTCTCGAAATCCAAGTCCAATAAATTCAAAATACAAATTACTCCAAAATACATAGTATTGCAAGAAATCCAAGATAATGAAAATATTCCTTAGACCTAGCTCTCACCGCCCTGACCGCTCTGACCCTCTTCACCCTCGCTTTCCCTTGGGTTTAGTGGTTGAAACCAACAGCCAATGTTTATGTTTGGGTTGGCCTTCTGACTCCTGCGAGCTTCTCCGGTGGAAGGAAACCGCTTCTCCTTCTTTCTTCCTGCTTTTTTGGTATAGTCTGGTGGGTAAACAACTAAATTAGCAACCTCCTCAGGAATAATCCAAGTAGAATGATGCGGCACCATATAGATGGTTCTGTGGTAAGCCATCGCCCAAGTATCAATCAAATAGTATCTCGAGCATAAATCGAAAATGTGTAAGTCTCTTCTTCTTGAGGACGTCCGCATCATTGCAATGGTTGCGGCTATTGCATGAACACATGGAATCTTATCAATATCAAACATGCGACACCCACAGCTTTTTGTTTCCAAATTAACCAGATAGCTCTTCCCATCAACTCCAACTACACTGTATTCAAGCCCAGGTAGATTTAGCTCAGTCACATCTAATTTGGTCGCAATTGCACATTGTTTATGCAACTCGTTTTCCACATACGGCACCAGTTTCTTCGAATATGATGCACCAGCTATGTTATTCCTATACCTGTTGAACCATTCAGACACTTTCTCAACATACGCATCAATCAAAGGCAATAGTGCATACTTTCTCGCCTTCTTGAAGATGTTGTTCATTGATTCACAGGCATTGCTTGTGTCCAAGTTGTACTTGTCTCCTTTAAAATACCACCGTGCCCATTTATCAAGAGGAAGACCATTCTCTAAGTACTCCGCAGCTTTGGGAAACATTCTACCAAATTCGGTGTATGCAATTAGAAACTCACTCTCGGTGTACTTATGAGCGCACTCAATGAATTTTTTAGAACACAAATCCTTCCAACCATTGGCTGCTTTAACCCTCACATTACGAGACAAGTGCCACACACAAAATCCATGCTGAGACTGAGGGTACACCTCCTGCATTGCCTTCGCTATGCTTGTGTGTTTGTCACTCATAAAAACAATCTCAGGATTATCTGGTATAACAGTTTTGAGCATTTCTAAAAATCACCTCCAACTAGAGTCTTTTTCACTATCGATTACACCCATTGCAATAGGGTAATGGTGATGATTAGGATCCTGAGCCGTGGCAAATACTAGCATACCATCATAAACATTATTAAGAAAATTCGCATCCACCACTATGACTTTCCTCATTGAACTAAAGCCTTCAATGCTGGCACCCAAAGCAACAAAAAGATACTTGAAGTTATTATTAGCATCCACTTTCACGCTCGTCACTGTACCGGGGTTCACCAGCTTCAACACACACAGATAAGAATGCAATCTTTGAAAGCTTTCTTCCGGACTACCCCTCACTTGACTAATCGCCAGTTTTTTTCCTCTCAAGGCAGTAGAGTAGGACACATTCACATGAGCTTCATTTTGAACAACCTTCACAATACTTCTAGGAGCCGGTGTGTCCACTACACCTGGATACGATGCACGCAAAACATCTGCTACAACTTGTGGAGTACCTTTTCTTTTATTCTCAATTGTGCTGGTAAGGACCCGAGAGCAACTATGCATTTTCCTGTATACTCTAAGGCTGAAGTAAGTTGAATCCTTCATTCTTACAGCATGTACATACCATGAACAACCATGTTCAGCTTGACGGCATTTAAGAATGAGTCGCCCATGATCAGACTTCACTGTTTTGACTTCAAAACATCCCTTATACGAAGCTCTGTCAACCAATACTCGCAACGCCTCTTTCGATCGAAATTCTTGATTTTTCTCAAAACCAGCACCATCTTCCAATTCAAGAACAAACTGAGTCGGTTCTGAAGCCCCAGCAGGCTCTACGTGATCATGCTCATCCATACCATACCTTGCAGGCTCTACATATTCATGATCATCCGGTTATGAAACAACATCATCAATCACTATCTGTTTCTCAGTCTCAGGTACAGCCACAATAGCAAGTTCATCCTGTTCTTTCGCTGATTCCTCGATTTCAAGCATAATATCGCCTGTTTCTAGCTCTTGAATCTTATCTCTTTCCAAATCTTCCATTATCTCCACATGCAACACAGATCTAAGTCCTTCTTTATCCACAGTTGTTAGATAGACATACACATCACCATCATCAACAATACATGACTCATTGAGTGGCTTAGCTACCAACAGAATATAGCTTAACTTGAGCTTCTTCTTACTATCGTTTACCCCAGTCTTCTTGCATATACCATCTACAACCATCGAATATATTACCTCATCCAAAGATGTTTTAAATGATATAGCATAGATGGAGCTTCTTGATATCCATTTGAACTCCTCTCCTTCCTTATAATAACATCCTCCATACTCAAAATGTATGTTTGTGTGGCCGCTCATTCTCTTCTGTTCACAAAACCAAAAAAACTAAGTCATTAACGAATAACAATATTTCCTATTTTCTCACAGTTGTACCAATTGTACCAGTTGTCCCACATATCTCAATCAGTTATCCCAATTGTACCAGTTGTCCCAATACATTCTGGGTCCCAATTGTCTTAATTGTCCCAGTTGTCTCATTCCTTTCAGTTAACCCAATTCAACTCAGTTATCCCAATTGTACCAGTTGTCCCATTCCATTCAGTTAACCCAATTGTACCAGTTGTCCCATTCCATTCAGTTACCTGAATTGTACCGGTTTTCCCATTACATTCAGTTACCCCAATTGTACCAGTTGTCCCATTCCATTCAGTTAACCCAATTGTACCAGTTGTCCCATTCCATTCAGTTACCCGAATTGTACCGGTTTTCCCTTTTAATGTAGTTACCCCAATTGTACCAGTTGTCTCTTTTCATTTAGTTAACCCAATTGTACCAGTTGTCCCTTTCCATTCAGTTAACCTAAGTGTACCAGTCGTCCCATATCTCACAGCAACAGCAACACTCAGAAGACTAAATCGACATATATACGCCACTCTACTATCCAATGTGCAACCAAAAACGACCGGAATTGACAAATCGATTACTAAACCCTAATCCCCAAACTGTAGAAGAAGTTACCTTATTACCAAATGACGGCTCTGCAACGAGATTTGGCGAACACCACGGGTTCAGAGAAGGCCGGCGCACCGCGCCGAGCGATAATAAACGAAGACGGATCGAAGATTCGATCAGAAGATTCTGGGGGAAGATTTTCGATTTCGGGTTTCGGTTCAGGATGTTAACCCAGAAATTCAGAGAAATCAGATTTGGTTTTGGCATAAGAATTTCAGAATTTCTATTTCTCAATTTTTTTTCGATTTTCAAAAAAAAAAAAACAAGAATCAGCAATGCCATATCTCCTTTTCATTAAGGGTATTTTCGGAATATCACGTGTCTTATGGCACCCAAACTTAAATATGGCAGGGTAGATCAATTTTTTCTCATTTATGGCTTTTCAGCCATTAATCCGTTTTGATTTTGTCGTCGATGGGAAGAAACGTGAAAGGAAGATGATGGGATGATGGGCCTTAGCAAACCAAAGCCCAAGGTGGAGATTGTGAAGATATGGGCTTTGAGTTAATTCTATTCACTTGGGCCAGAGATTTAATAAAACCCAATAACATCTGATTGAGTTTATAAGTTGGATTATTTATTACTTAAAAAATCAAAAGTTCCGAGAAAACACCCTACATAGAAAAAGAGTAAAAGATCATATAAAAAGAGAAACAGAGGGAGAGAGAGCAATTGAGAGAGAAGAGAGAAGAGTATTGGAGGTTATAATAGAATGATCGATTCCGGTTTTTTACACTAGTTCAATCTATAGTTAATTGTACAAAGTGATTTAGTTCGGTTTAATTTATCTCGAATGTATATATTTGTAAATAGACACATTTTGAGACAATCAGAAAATATTTTTAATAAACTTTCTTCTTCTCTTATTTTCTTTTTCTCTAATCAAAGCCATCAAAGCTCTAATCTCTTTTTCATTTTACTTGATTTGAGCTCCGTATTTGGATTTTCTAGTTTAATCTAAAGCTATGATGGTGTCTTTGAAAAATATAGCTCAAAGATTTACTCAATCTAAAGCATCAACAAGTTCCGCTTCCAAATCGACTCGTCATTTGACTCGATCCAGCTCTGATGTTGCAGATCTACCTCCGATTACTCCTCTAGTAGTTATCTCTCAAGACTCTAGAGCTTTGTGAGCCATTGCAATGTCGGATTCTCAGGATCCAGGTCAATCTCCGTTTAATATGCATAATGATGATCATCCAGGTTTACAAATCATCTCTCTGAAGCTTGATGGTAAAAACTATGATGATGGGAATGCTGTTATGTGTATTACTCAAGACGCTAAGAATAAGATCAGATTCATTGATGGAACCTTGCCTCGTCCAGTTCAATCGGATTCTAGTTTTCGGCTATGGTCAAGATGTAATAGAATGGTTAAGTATTGGCTAATAGAATGGTTAAGTATTGGCCATTGCGTAAGAACTCTCTGAATAGATCATTCACCAAAGATTGGAAGGTTTCTGGAGCATTTGTTAAGCCAAAAGGCATGACCAGAAACTCATAATGGCCATCATGAGTTCTGAAAGCTGTTTTGTCAATATCTTCCTCTTTCATACGAATTTGATGATACCCCGACCTCAAATCCAGTTTGGAGAAGATATTTGCTCCATACAGTTCATCTAGCAGCTCATCGATCATGGGTATAGGAAATTTATCTGGCACTGTGGCTCTATTCAATGCCCGATAGTCGATGCAAAATCTCCAACTAGCATCTTTTTTTGGACTAAAAGGACAGGACTTGAAAAAGGGCTCACACTTGGCCTAATGGTTCCAGCTTGTAACATTTCTTGAACCATCTTTTCCATGACTTCTTTGTGCATTTGAGGGTACTGGTATGGTCGCACGTTGATCGGAGCTTGCCCTTCTTTCAAAATGATTCCATGTTCACGACCACGCAGGTGGGAGTTCGGTTGGAACTGCAAAAACGCCTTCAAATTCCTCCAATAACTCAGTGATTAGAGAAGGTGTCTTTGCTGACATCGTGTCCGTTAACTGACTGCCTCCAAATTCTAACACCATTCCTTTAGAAACCACGCGAGGGCCAGGTGATAAAGTTCTTATGGAAAGTCTTTTAGAATGAAAGCTGGTGTCTCCATATAATGTGATCCAATCACCATTATATTTGAAAGAGAACTCTTGTTTTCTCCAGTCTACTTGACAAGTGCCCAAAGTTTCCAGCCATTGCACCCCTAAGATGACATCCACATTCCCCAACTCCAGTGAGATGAAATCTGTAGTAAACTCAAATCCTGCTAAGGAGAATTTTACGCCTTTGCATAGTCCCATGCCCTTTACTTGTAGACCGTTTCCTAGTAGAATCTCCATTGTATTGTTTTCAGCCATCTTCAACTTAGCTTTAGCTAAGGCTGTGGGAGAGATAAAATTGTGGGAAGCTCCACTGTCCAACATCACTACTACTGAGGACTTCCCAATAACTCCCAACACCTTTGTTTTTTTCAGAGATTCTATTCCCAAAAATGCGTTCAAGGACAGATGTCCGAGTTCACCAGTCTCCACTGGTTCATACTCCGTCAACTCGAACATATTCTCGTCCAGGATTTCTACTTCAAATCCATTCAGCACTGATAGCACCTGTAGTTCCTTCTTCTGGCACACTTTATCATGTCCTTTTAACCATTTCACATCACATTTGAAGCATAAGCCCAAACTTCTCTTCAAGTCTAACTCTGCATCCGTAAACTTTTGTTTGGGTCTTAAGTTTGTTTTCCCACCTTGAAGCATTTCCTTCGGTTCCGATGTCTCAGGCAGAGCTAGGCGTGGTTTGAAAGTGGTAACGAATTGAGGTCTTGTGGCTACAAAGGAGCTTCGAGTTGAAGTCTTAGCACCACCCTCTTTCTTTGCTACTTCACTAACAGCCCTGCAAAACATGCTAGTTTTCATCTTCAAACCGCAGCAATGTGATTTGCAAGACCTCTTGGCTCTTTCATCCTAATCACCTCCTTCATTTCCTGTGATAGGCCATTATAGAAGATGTCCACAAGTCCTTTACATCCACACCAGTAACTTGTGACGATAAATCCTCAAACTCCGAAATATAATCGCTCACTGACCCCGTTTGTTTGATAGAATACAACCTTTTACCCGGTTCGTCGTCTTGTGATTCTGCAAATCGGATCAATAGTTTCGATTTGAAATCTCTCCAATCACTGAATCCCTGACGTTGTCTTGCCCAGATAAACTATTTTCGAACCTTTCCCGTCAATGTTAGAGCAATCAGGTCTTATTTCGCTTTATCGTCGTAACGAGCTATCGCGAAGAAACTTTTGACATCGGCTATCCACACATATGGAGCCGAACCATCGAAGATAGGCATTTCGATCTTCTTTAACATACTATCGCGATTAGCAAGATCTGAATGACCAGGCCGATAACCTAAGGGAAAATCACTCTGGTTCATTCCAGGATAAGAGTTATGTACCTGATCTTGATATTGTGATGAGCTGGGGATTTCAATTGGTCGAGCTCCGCCTCCCAAAGCTGGTGGTAATTTGGATTGTTGTTAAATTGCTATGAGAATTGAGTTGAGTTTGGAGTCAATCTCGTTGATTCTTACTTCCGTTGAGGTTTGCGATTCGCACAACCGCTTAAATTCGCCGTGAAGAAAACTTAGCTCATCACGCATCCTCACTGGTACTCCACCGTCTTCACTCTCGGGATCGGAATACATGATCCTTTTACTTGCGGAATCGATCTCGTCACGACTCACCATTTGATAAGCTTTGAGCTGAATATCTCTTTGTATTGAATGAAGAAGTTGATACAATGTAACCGTATAACGTTACACACTCATGACGTATGTAACGGAATACCAATACTGAGCTCATACGCTCTAACTAACAAAATATCAACATACGTATTCCAATACAACAACTACTATTTATACTACTTCTTTCCTCACTCGCATTCCACGCGCTAACGCCACGTGTTACTTCAATTAACTCCCACCACTTGATCCTTCTTCCTCTGTCTCGCGTATACATTGATCCTATCAAAAGCTCATGTCATGGAATGTCATGTCTTATATTCTCTTGTACTTTATTTTATGATCTGAGCCCTAGCTAAGACTGTAGCTATTGTATTGGATGTAACTCTTGGATCTTGTTTAGGTAAATATTGCCAAAATCAAATGGACTAACTTCGAGTCTGGTTCAAGATTGCTTTCCAGAGAGTTTGCAAACTATTACAGATTGTGTTCATCGTGACGTATGAACCACATTAGACTCATTCATCTTCAGTCAGGCACACATTATTTATTTATTTTTGATGTTTTTGGATGTTCATTAACCTTAAAACGTCGCTATATAGTTCGGGACTGATTGAATCGCTGACTGTAATAACGTAATGAGTCGAGGTCAACATTCTAACTTATTGTCGTACTGGTAGAGGTGTTCTTATAGATCGAAAATGGTAATAGTCGAAAATGGTAATAAATATATTTGGAATAACAAAGACGATTTGCTACAACTCATATCCTTTTTTTTTGTCATCATGTTATTTTCTGAACTCCTAATGAGGTTCACCATTGGAAGAGAAAAAAATTATGAGATTCTAAACTTTTCATTAATTAAAATATTAATTATTAAAAAATTGCTAAGAATGAGTTCACTATTGGAGATGCTCTTATGTTCAACAAAATTAACAAAACATAAAGAGAAGTAGCCTCCAGAATAAGATGGATGATATAGTATTTAAACACTCTGTTTTGAAGAATTTAACAATTTCTTTGTGTTTGAACAATCATGAGAATTAGGCTATTACTTTCCAATCCATGCGACGAAACTATAATACTAATTTTTAAAGACTTTGTTTTAAATGAAGTTGGTGTAAATTATCTACTCTATTTATTTTTGTTTTAGAAAAAATTTAAAGAACAAAAAGAATATTCTAAAAAACTTATTACATCCGTCAGTAAATTTTTTAATATGTATGTTTTTATAAGAAATGATAAAAATCTTGTCATAATGAATCCTAATTAAAGAAATATTTGTGACAATTCTTGCAATTATGGTTTTTTTTATGTTGTGTAATATGATTTTATTTATATAAATATTTTGAATCAAATTGTTGAATAGAATCGATAAAATAAAGCTAAAGGGTTAAATACATAATTTTGACAAATATAAAGGTATAACTATAAATCGTGTGATTTATCAGTATATAGAAGTATTAGTTCTTCTGATAAGATTTTGAATTTGACTATTAGGATCATCATTATAGTGGGTTGAATAAGTCAAACCTAATAATGGGTTGGTTAAATACATTATTTTTACAAATACTATTAGGATCATGTGATATGTAAGACAAGAAATTCAACTAGAATGCTGTAAATTTCTATACACTTGAACAATATGAGGGACAACGTAAATAATGAACAAAAAGATACAACATTAAGTACAGAAAATCACACCCTTTTGTTTGTGATTGTCGTAACTCCTACAGGACCAGAAACAGCAATACACCTTCAATCCTGAAGAGTACATGTGAACTCAATTTCTTCATAAAAAAACTCTTCCATATCTGATTTGCTCGCTTCCGCCAAGAGCAAAGAAAAACGTTCAGGACGCTCAAAGCTTCAGTGTAAGTGTCGAAAAGACTTGATGACTATAGTCTTGCAGAAGTCATGAGGTTGGATGTTGGATGAAGAGCTCCAAGGTTCTGAATGTTTCCGGTAGTTGAAATATTGGACGACAAATGAAAGATGCATTCGCATTCGGGTAAAGGGTATGTGTAAATGGAAGTTTTCCGGTTTATCTTCCTCACTCTAGGTACCATTACTCCCTTTCGATCGCTTTCCCCTAGCATCAGTTTCATCTCCTTCTTGAAAATTTCCCACCTGTTCAAGATTCGGAGGAAGTATCGTACAAACTCTTACTCAAATGTAAGAAATAGCTCAATATAAACTCTCTCTTGTGTGCTGAGACTTTGAAAGATGCTAAACTCTGTGTCTAGATTCTTTATTTATCAGAGCTCAACGACAGAGAATGTGAATTTCATCTGGCATCTCTTCTTAGAGATTTACATGACTCTAGGAAGAGGTTGAGATAAAATGAAGATTTATAGTACCTTATTTCCATGTCTTGAAGAAGGAGAACAAGTTTGGGTTTGTCGGGAATGACAGTTTTTGCATGTCCACCGAAGAGGAATCTTCGATGGCCCATCAAAAAGTGAGGAAAGTTTCCACCTTGAGTTGTCACAAACACTTCACTTAACAAGCTCACCGTATAGTCCAAAGCAGCCATTCTGGACGAATATCCCTATATAATTAAAGTAACAAGAAAATATCACACTATAAATGTTGCCCAAACAGATTTGCATATAGATAAATGAATATAACATAAAACCTCAAATGGGGCAATCTCCTCTGGAGTTGCAAGCGACTCTTTTGTGAAGAGACGAGGAAACATTTCCCGGAGAGGAGCCAAATGTATCTCAGGTTGGTAGATTTTTCCCGAGGCCAAATATATCGAAGTGTGGTTATCAAATCCCATACCACGGAGCATCATACCGACCTATGCTAACATGAAAACAAAGCTCAATAAAATACTAATACCTGAAAACGCCTCTAAGTATGGGACTGAAATGTGAATATATTTCAATGAATTACCTCTAACGGGGTAAGTGGACATTTTCCATTAACGCGGTTAAGGTCAGGCCTAGTGACACGATCTGTTCGTTTGAACTTTCCTTTCCAACTTTTCTGTCTAATCACATCCATTTCAGATTTCTCAGCTCTTCCTCCGTAAAGACAACATGAGAACGCCACCATATCCTAAAAACAAAGGCTTTTCTAATCTTGTCTCTCTTAAGCAAACTAATATTATACTATTGAATTGAGACAAACAAAGAGAAAATTACCTCCTCAAATCGAAGGTGGACTGAGACGTACTTTCCTCCGGTCTCTGAGCTTTTCTCAACCATCCGATCAACTAGCTTTTCAGCTAGTGTTGATATAGGTGAAGAAAACTTCAATGCCTTGTAATTAGCTATGCACCTTAAAAGTTGGATATATGGTGGAACACTCATCGCCAATCTATTTGCGAAAGGCGATATCCGTATAACCCTGAATTGAATACACAATGACACCATTTAAAAAAAAAAAACAAAGGATTAGAGTCATGTAGCAGATTCAAGATTAGAGTAAACCTACCCATGTTCCTTTAAGACCGGATAGACTTCTCCATTATAGTACTTGACAGTAGCCCAAGCTTGAACGCGAATAGTAGGGATACTTGTAAGGTTGTAACTAAAACGGGTCATTATTTCATCCGGAATATGCCTCACAACTTTCACATATCCTTCGAGGCTCGATATGAAATGATCTTCGTCATAGATATCCCCAAAGGTGCTGCCACAAATATGCATTTCTTAGTCCAATATTTTAACAAGAATTGAAAAAGTGACGAATTTTTTTCTGGCTTCTTACCTTGAATCCTTCCAAATGGCGTGAAATTCAAACTCCGGTATGACTAAGACCGCGTTTAGGAGTCCAGCAACAGCCACAGCATTGCAAATCTGAAGCAATTGAAAAAAATATTAAAACAAGACAACAACTTAGAACATGTTGGACTTATAGGATCAATGGTTGTAATCAATAAGAGAAGAAGAAGGTGATACCGCGGAACGCTGCTGATTAAGACCGCCATTTGCCTCCACGATCAAATAACCGCTACGAGTAAGAACAGATGATTCTGGAAAATTTCATCAAACAAACTGTCCTCAAAGCTTTGAAAATTGTTATTTATGAAATCAAATTTGTTTAATGTAAAAGAAATCTTTAAAACCATCTTTTTGTTTCGCGATCCCAGAAACTGGGAAGCCACACAACTCAATAGTTTCAGTATCAGACACAATATGAGGAAATTGGTCTGGCTCCTTACCTCTGTCAAAACCAAGAGGTGGAGAAGCTGTCGAATTCAGACATGGTTTTGGCATTTTTGGTCTCCTTTTGTATTTCCAGACAGAAGAAAACTGCTACCAGAAAAAGAAAGAAGCTTTGACAATTTAACAAACAAAAATCAGAAAGAAAAGCGGAAACTTTTTTACTGTAAATACCTCAACGGCGGTGGAATTGTCAGAGAGGATGTCATCTCGGAGTTTCCTATATATCTCGGGGCTCCGATAAACAGACCCAGGAATATAAACCCACCCGACAAGAGCCGAGAAAGGACCGACACACATGAGAAGCCCAGAAGCGTAAATCATAGGAAGGAGAAGCAAGTAACGGAGATTTCTCCGGAGAGAGAAAGAAGAAGCTCTGAATAGAGTTTGCCGCCGTTGACGACGGGGGACACGGCGGCTTGGAGATAAAGGTGGGCTTGGAGACTCGCTTCTGCTGCCATTTTCGCTACCTACAACACCATTATTGCTATTCGGCTGGTGGTGGATTTTGCTTTTCATCGGAGACAAAAAAAAGGTTCGATTTTCCTTGTCTTTGAAATCGGTGAGCTGAAGAAAAAGGGTAATGTATCAGAGAGATCTCATGAAGGAGCTACAGAGATATGTTGGGGAAGATGGATCTGTGGAAACTTTAATCAATTGAAGTTCTTTTGTGGTCTGACGCACAAAAGAAGTGAGATTCTTAAAGGGACGAAACATGATTACACTAAGAATAAATTAGTCATTTTCTAGATTTTTTTTTTTTCCATTGTTGGTTTAGTGTAATCAATTGTTGGTCAATTTTTAAACAAGATCATTCTAAATCTAATCAAAGGCAATTAGAAAAACACCTATTTTTCCATCAGAAGTATCTTATAATATTAAAAAAAAAGTATATTTAGGAAATTAACTTTGGTATTACGTCTTATATTACATGAAATGCCATTGTAAAAAATGTATTCCACGAAAAAAAAAACTGAAATCAAAAAGGATTTGCGTCCTTTATTTTGACCCGTTTAAAAGAACGCGGATCCTTTAATTTGACTCGTTTCTTATTTTAGGTAATTCATTATTTATGAAGATGTAATCTATTTGAAATATTTAGCTCTTAATAATCGAGATAAATGAAATAGATATCCCAATAAATTGTATATTTTATGCATGAGAGAATCTTGAATTCAAAATAAGAGAAAATACACAAATCTTCAAATCTTTTTTCTCGCATACCCGATTATGAACACAATAATAACAACTTCCAAGAATGACATATTTAGTTATTTACCAAAATATTGTATTAATTTAAATTTGAACATATATACTTAGCCGCCAATGTATCTTTCTCTTAACGGCATTGTATAAAATCCGGAAATTTTATTTTGAGCTATTGCTAAATCTCAATCTATGAGAATATTCTATTAGTTTGTTATTGAATACTATCCTATTTATTTTGGATCACCGTATAGATACTCAATAACAACTACTTTTACAAAAAATGTAGGATTCACTATTTCCAATCAATATTATGTTCAATTTGAATTGAGAAAAATATACTTGGCCGCCAGATTACATACAGCTCAACGGTATTGCGAAAACCTTATACTGTTTCACTATAAATACGACACTATCGTATTCCATTTCACTCTTCATCAACTACAACTTTCTCAACTTTTACTTCTATTCAATTCTTTGCAATGGCTTCAAACATGAGGTTAACTCCTTTGGCTGACTTAAAGTCATTCAAGACTGGGTGGAAGGTGCAAGTGAAGGTGCTTCACACTTGGAAGCAATACCAGACTAAGAGTGGAGAGTCCCTCGAAATAATTCTCGCAGATGAAATAGTATGATCAAGTGAATGTGTAATTACATTTTTGTACTACTAACTATTAATGGTTTACTTATAAACATTTTTTATTTTCAGGGTACCAAAATCCACGCCACCGTCAAGAAAAACATGTTGCATCGTTTGAGCGGTTGATGGTTGTCGGTGAATGGAAGTTCATCAAGAACTTTTCATTGAACCAGGCGTCCGGTCAATACCGAGCCACAAAACATCAATTCAAGATGTCCTTCATTTCATCCACCGTTGTCACCAAAAATGCTAATCGATCTGCCAGTCAATTTTTTGAGTTCTTAGATTATGATACAATCTTGAACGATTCCACAAGTACAAGTTTTTTGATCGGTGAGTTTCCATTTACCTATATAGTTAGTTTATTACATTTATGTACGTATTCATCTGACGTCATTTTTCAAAATACCAGATGTTATTGGACGAGTTGAAAGTGTATGTGAACTTGAAACAATCCCTGTCATAAACAAGGACACAAGCAAGCTTGAGTTCGACTTGTGCAATGTGAAGTGAGTATATACGGTTAACATTATTTTTTATTACGTTTATGTTATTTTTTATTCTTTTAAATATTTATACTCATCTAATTGAACCGTATTATATGTAGAGAGGAACGCTTACCATGCACACTTTGGGGTAAATTTGGCGAGCAAGTCTATTCGGCTTGTCAGAATGCTGGCGAACGTGGGGTCATCATTGTAATCCGTTTTGGAAAAATCAATGTGTTAAGAGGTAAAAATATTTAATTACAAAATTGTTGTTTCAACATAAAATATAATGCATTTTGATTATTTGTTTAAATTATCATAGGTGAACGTCAAATTACCAGTTCTTTTCAAACCTCTTAGGTGCTCATAGATCTTAACGATCCAGATGTCACTGATTTCAAAAATAGGTAAACAATATATTTATATATCAAACACAAATTTTGATAATGTGATTATTAATAATAATTGTTTTCCAATATGAAGTTTACCTACAAATGGCGGAAATATTACTTTCTTGAGTAGCAAGCCACATCAGATGATTTCTTATGATGATGAGAGTAATTTTGATTAGTTTCCAATGGTGACTATTGCTGAACTGCAAGATTATCTTGAGGTATATAACAAAGTTGTCATAACTTTATTATATGTTGATAAAATGATATGTTTTTGGGAAATAATTTTTTAATATAAAACTAATAACATAAAATATTTAAAGGGTATAAAACATTAGATATGGTATCGACTAAATTAAAGGTATAACTCAAACCTTAACTTTTATGTGTTAATTTATCAATAGAGTTTATGCAATTATGGTGACTGTTCTATTGTTAAATATTCAGGCTGGAAAATGTAAAATCATGTGTACTGTATACGCGGTTGATACAATTGGCCTGGTTTTACTTGGTTTGCACTAAGTGTAGAAAAAAGGTCTACAAAATCCCAAAACGCGAAGACGAGAAATTTTGTGATAAAACTAAGAAGCTTTATTCATGTGAAACATGTGATGCCAAAGTTTCATCTGCCAGTGCGAAGTAACTAAATTTTATAAATTACTAGATAACAAATTGTTTGCCAAAAACATATAATCACATGTTTACATTTAAATTATATTGTAGATACTAACTCCATCTTTGTGTAATGGACAACACGAGCAAGATCAAATGTTTTCTTTTTGATTCAAATGCAAAGGATATTGTTAACCAGTCTGCTGATGAAATTTTAAAAGGGACATACGATGCGTATGAGGTATTATACACTTTACTTATTTTATTTCAATTAGTTTTATATTAAAAAATCAATTCCCAAATACTTATTATTTTTGAACATAGATACAAGATCCAGATGTCGTTCCTGATGCGCTGCAAAACTTGGTTGGGAAGACTTTTCAGTTTCTAATTTGCGTTAAGAAAGAAAATCTTTACGGTGGTAGTAATACATACAAGGTCGGAAATGTTTGGAAAGGCAATCAGGTTTTGACTACCACCATTGATGATGCGAATGAATCTGAAGATGGGGGTGATCAGAGTTTACTCATGTCTGGCGATCAGGTAAAATTCATATGATGTGAATGTATTTTTTATATTTATGGTACAATACTATATCTTGAAAATTTATTATTTATAGGCATCACTGATGAACACACATAGCCAAGAGTCTTCGGATGATGTTTCTGGCAATATCAAAACTCCTTTAGCAAAGCGTGAGCGTGATGATCTTAAAGATTCAGTCGACTCATCCTCATCGTCTAAGAAGTCATGTAATAGTGGGAATAGTGTGGAAACAACATATGCTAATGAAGTGATTGATGAGGATACACTGAAGAGTGATGGTGTTTTGGTGAACGCTCTTCTTACAAGTGAATCCAATGAAGGGGTTGCAAAGGGACGAACTCGAGGACGTGGTGGTGGTAAAGTTGTTGGCAAAGAGGGAGGCAAAAATGGGAAGATGTGATCCCATATATTCTGGAGTTTATGAATTTGTTATTATTCAATTTTTTATTGAATAACTTTCTCTTTTCCAATATTTGGTTTAGTATTTTGAGCATTCGGATATTTATTTTTTTGTGGTTAGTTAATTGTTTCTGGAACTAGAATTATTAATAAAATATGTTTGGGTTTTGCATACTATGTTTGTCAGTCACAAGTTATACATTTTAATTCATTTGCATCAAAAAAATATAAGTATAATATTATATTAGTTTAAATAAATACTCCTTATGAGTTTTGACGATGATCCTTACGAGTTCTGACGAACTTGAGAATCCATCGTCTGGACCTTCACTCACTCCTTCATATAAGAAGCTAAACCCGAGAGTTTCAATTAAGACGACATTAAAACCATAACCGTTTTACTCCATCACATAGAAAACTATTCATTTCCTTATTCTCTTTTATCTTCAATCTTAACAAAAAATTAAAACAAAGAATGTCTCCTTGTGAAAGTGTTTCCGATCTTCAGAAGACAAACGGCGGATATCGTATTTGTGTATAGATACTAAGAGATTATTATGATTATACTCTTTTCGATCGACCTAATCAGATGTTAGTTCTTGCTGATGAATTTGTAAGCTTTGGAGGTTTGAAAATATTTACCGTATATATGTTTTAGGAATGTATTTCTTAGTTATTTATTGATAAACTGTGTAGGGCAATCGCATCCTGTCTGCTATTCAATATGATATAATGGACAAATTCGAGTATGCATTGGTTGAAGGAAATTGGGTTTTTCTTGGTAATTTTGAAGTTACTGACAGAGTGATTCATCCAAGTATATCATCAAACAACTATCATATACATTTCCTCGAGGATACCATTGTTGAGAAAACCAATCCGAAGTCGTCCAGAGGAATATACTCTTTTTGTGCATTCATGAATATTTTATATAGATTTATTCATACAGATAGATATCTTGGTATGTTTCTTACAATTTTTTATTTAAAATCGTTTATGTAAGGAAGTCCAACATGTATTTACAGGCAGTCTTTTATTTTTGCAGTTGATCTTCTCGGTGTTGTCACATTTGTTCAGAAACTTCAGTTAGGAGTTCCTATGTCCGATACATTGGACACACCCACTCAACGTCCAAAATGGTCGACACATTCTATACACTGAAGTTCCTACCAAATTTGTGTGGAATGCCAGACTTAAAGAATGGAGACTCAGAAAATGTGGTGTTGGTCAATCCGGGTACTTAAAAAGTGTCCCATTGAAGATTCCGAGCTTTTTTACTTGTGCTTATTGTTGCACATCGTAAGAGGTCCTACATCTTATGGTGATATTAAGACTGTTGATGGTGTTACTCATCCCACATTCAAAGAAGCTTGTCTTGCTAGAGCATTTGTCCCATTTGAAGATCAATAATTTTTTTTATCTTTTTAAGTATTCAGTATTAAGTTTATTGATAATTATTTTTATTTTTCATAACATTTTGGCTTTTATATGTAGCCAAAATAATCAATAACGATGTGCATTTTATGAAAAGTGAAATGGAATAAAGCTTTTAATATTTCTTTACGACTTATAGTTTCATCTCTGTCTGTTTATATATCATCTTCGCATATAATCTATATCTCCATGTTTAGAAGTAAACACAAATTATATAATTTGCCCCATACAATATTGTATGAATATATATTTGATAAACCCACAAAGCTCTAGGTAGTTATATAACAAATTCATTATATTGTTGTACGCTTTAATGATAAACTAAGATTCTCAATGCAATAACTCATCGATACTTATGTATAGAATTGGATGTTTGCTTTATTTAATAACTCATCGATACTTAATTTAAACATAGGATATTTTCATCAATACTATTAAGGTATGTGTACAACTATAATGGAATATTTGAATATTTATAGTATTAAATATAATAAGTGTTTAAAGGACATATATCTAAGTATTTATTCGTACGATATTTAACAATACCATATAAATTCCAAATTATGTTCTACTCTTATTCAGTGATTTTTTAAATTTCCTTAAATATTATAGGCGTTGTTATTATAATATTCACTTTACTATCCTGACTATCTTACCTATATTCTCTAAGGAGATTAAAAAATTTTTCACCACTATTTAAGTAATATTTTAGAAGGCATACAATAAAGTTCTAATTACTATTGTTAGATATTATGTTTGGCTACGACTACATTTCAGATTTGAACACTCATACCTCAGACTGGAAGATTCGAGTTAAGATCGTTCGGAAGTGGAAGGAATGGATTCAACATGACGGTGTCACTCTTATGCTTATTTTGTCTGATCCAAAGGTTACTTCAATATAATATCTTACTATATGAATTTATTGTTTTGTTGCGTATATTACTGAACTAATATTATATTTGCTCATCAACTTTTTATTTGTATTGTGTTAGGGACATACTATAGAAGCCCGAGTGAACAAAAAATTCATTAATCATTTTGATTGTTTGCTGGTTGAAAATCAATGGTATGATATTGAAGATTTTGGAGTAATCCTTAGTCGTGAAGACAATTCAGCATCAACGAGTATTCATATAATGTTATTTATTGTGTCTACAGTCGTCACAAAAATTGAGAAATTTTCATGTTAGTTCACCTCTGTCTAATTTTGAATCTATTTAACTCCATATGCTTATGTATGAGAACTTTTTATTTAATTTGCAGCTATCCAAACAAGCTTGATGGGAAGACGATGTATTTTTTTAGGATAAAATTAGAATTTTAATATTTAGATTCTGTATTTTTCTGTTTTATGGTAATTTATTATGCTATAATTTCTCGATCTACTTATTTCTGATCGATTCTCTCTTGTGTTATACCTATTATTTTAAAAATCAAATGATCACATACATATAATTACAATTTATGTTCAATTAATATATTGTATGTTAACGTGTATAAAACAGGTGTTCATAACTGCACTACAAAGTGTATGCATGCTACGGAATAAACAATCATAACATCAGCTTTTTAACTTCTCAATAGTAATGATTTGTCTCGGTAATCGATTGGGGTTGCAATACTAATGAAACCATATAATAAATTGAATAAATATAATTTATTATATGATGACGATAATAACCAGTAATTAGAAATATACATATGCATTAATTTTGTTATATATAATGTATATGTTAATTATTTTTGTTGTTGTTTAACTATAACAACTTCGTCTGTTCTTTTTTATTTAACAATTACTAAAAAACTTATAGTAAGATACATTCTGTCACTGATGCAACATATGTGAGATACTAGACACTTTATTTTTCTGCATGGTAATCATTACACTAAAGATCAATGCATTTTATATTTCAATATAAGATAACCAATATAATAAATGAATCGTCGCCATTTAATATAATTTTATATTGTTAGGTGTGAAACAGTTATTATGTAAGATAGAAACTAAAAACTGTAATCATAAACAACTTTCACTCCTAACATATGATAACGAACTAAGTCTTATTTTATTTCAGTTATCGGAGTGATTTTTATTCGATATCTAAAATGTATAACCAATAATTATACTATTTACTCTAATGTATTAAATGTGAAAATGAATTTTCCAAAACTGTATGAAATATAAATTTTATATCATGTAAACTACTTTCAGTCCTAACATAGGAAAACAAATATTTATGTATATATTTTGGAATATGAATCTCAAAAGAGATTTATCATGAATCAATACAATATAGAAAAGTATGTTGCATTCAATGTATATAAACGTCATTAGTTGCTACGATAGGTGTAATCATTATTTTTGTTGTTTAACAAGAAAACCAAACCTGTGCCAAAATTAATTAGAAGAAGTTATCCTTTTCGTTTTTGACGACGGTTCCACTTTATTTGTATTATATTTCAGAGACTATTGCTTAACAGAACAAACAAAATTCGAAAACACGAACTTCTCGAATTATGTCTTACCATGACTTAGTTAGTAAGCTTACGCCATGGCAAGAAAATCCGGTGATACGTGTTGTTATTTACAAAAAATGGATTGAGAAAGACAGCAGTGGTCGGGATCGTGTCGAATTCATATTTGCCGACGAAGAGGTAAATAAGTTGATCTTTTATACTAGATGAATTTTTGGTGCATGCAAGTAACTTTTTTTGCCCTAATAGTTTTTGTATTTTACAATCTGTAATCATTCTAGGGCTGTAAAATTCATGCGTCTGCTCATAACTGGATCCATGAATATTTCAAGAATGAATGTCACAAAGGAGAATGGTTTGAACTTCGCAATTTTATTGTCAGATCTTCAGACTGGAACAATTGGAAAGAACGTCCAACTAAACATCCTTACAATATCCTTCTCACTCGAGATACCACGCTTGACTTTATACGTGAAGAGCCGGTATCTAATTGGTATTTCTTGAATTTAATCAAATTCGAAGATATTGTGAAGAGGAAAGTGGATCATGTGTTTCCTATTTGTAATATTTTATTTTCATTATTGATTTATTTAGTTTATTTGTTCTTAATAATAATTAGTCTATTATATGTTAGGGAATCATTATGTTATTTTAACTTCTATTCTTTTTAAAAAAAATAGACTTGGTTGGTGTGATCGATTTTGTTAGTGAAATATCCATTGGCAATGACTTTGACTCCATTTCAAGAATCCAGCCAAAAAAAGTTCTTGAATTTCATATAAGAGATCTCGAGTAAGTGTATTTTCTATATGTTATGCAAATTCATTTTTATAAGTATTATTTATTGGTGTTATGTTTACTTTTAAATTTAGGGATGTTGTTATCAAATGTTTTGCTTTTGATAACTGGGCAATTTGTTTTCATGGAAATCGAGAAAGACTGATCGCATTTTCGTTCTGTTAACTGAGTGGAGACTTGATCTCTATAAAGGTTAGATATCCAATGTATTATTATTATTGAATTTGGTATCTGAACTTCTACCAAAGTATATAACGGTGTTAAATGCTACAATTATATTTTTCTTTGTAGGTGAAAACATTGTCAGAAATGGAGGAGGTCAGTCTCGATTTCTCTTCAACCCAGAGATAACTGAAGTTGAAGAGTTTGCGTACATGTAAGCTGTTTTATCTTTATTTTTAAATGAAATCATAATTTATAGTTGCTAACTATTCATATTTATATCAACAGGTTCGTTCTGGCCGACAAGAAGTCAAATATCAAACCAGGAAATTAAGATGTGCATATGAAACCAGACTACATTATAACACATTTTCGTTCAAAGGAGATATGTCTTCCTATTTATATTTATGTTATGAATCTAATATCTTGAACTTATTAATTTCTGTGGGCTTTTTACAATGGTTGTTTATGTATTTCCGTAAACATATTTTATTTTCATATCTAAATTACTATCTGCTTAAATATTTATCAATGATCGTTAATAAATTATAACGAATCGTGTGATAGAAATATGAAAAGTTATTAACTAGATTAATTTTATCATTATTATATATACATTTATTATATGAAAAGATATTATCTTGTGATACAAATTGATGGGCTTTTAACTAGAATGTAAGTTATCATACCAAATGATTGTAATAAAAATTGATGGGTTTTTATTGAAAAATCTGTAAAACTATAAACAATTTTGCTTTCTATACTATATATACACTTAGCAAATTTGCATTTTAATTTGCCCACTTGATTGCTAACATATTCTTAAAATCTACATGTCCATATCATAAACATCACATGTATTGATGTTTAAACTCCACATATCATTCCATCCATAACATTCAACTCTATATGTACACTGAACTAAACATTAATTGGATATAACTTATGATTTATTTTTCATTTTAGCCAACAAAAATCACGCCCGCCCACCAATGGGCGGGTTAGAATCTAGTTATTGTATTATATAATAACAGCCACATGAATTTCAGTTCTTTCTATTTTCATATAAATTAAAAGTTCAAAACCTATTTGTACATCAAATAAAAGTTTGAGGCAAGCAGAAGAAACTCGAAATGACTTCAGATCTACTTTTTCCCTGCTCAACCCTAATCTTTTGCCAGAAATAACTAACTCACCTCCTTCTCCCTAACCCTTGGCCGAAAATCTCCATGCCTCCTCTTCTTTTTCTCACCGTGTCTTCCGCTCTGTAACGGTTGTCTTTGGCCACCCTCAAGGCTTTGCGACTCTTCTTTAAACCAAGTTCTTCTTTAAAACTGTTTCTATCCTATTTTCGACCTCAAAATCCACTCTGTTTCGTCTTAAGCATGGTTCCACCTTGTTTGACTTCTTTTTGCCTCAGCTATGCCTAACCAGGAGTCCACCGAACAAGATTGAACCTTCTCCCTTTTTGGGAAGTAAATCTAAAACCGTTGCTCATCACCGGCGTCTACTCTCATACTCTGCATCAACACTTGCTGCTGAAGCACGATTGCTCCCAACTTTTCTAAGCTATCTTTTTCCTCGCCAAATCAAGATCTCAACATTCAAGACTGAAGTTTTTCTCCCTATTGGGAAGCAAGTTCAAGCCATGTTTTCTCTTTGGCTGTCACTACTGCCTACTCTGTTCTAAGTGCCTTATAATTACTATCGCAAAATCTCTTTTACTCTGCAAGAATGGATCGTTCAAAAGATGTCCCAAAGAACTCTCACCTGGAGGATGACGACGACATTATCGAGCTTCCTCACGTCGACAACTCTCAGCTTATAGCTAGATTTAATCGAAGTCTGGTTGGCCGCTTGTTCAACCAAGATATCAGAAGCACCGAGACATTTATAGCCTTTATGCCAAGGCAAAACATCTGGGATGTTGAAGGCAGAGTACATGGCATAGATTTGGGGAACTCAAGATTTCAGTTTGACTTTGATTCAGAAGCAGATCTGAAAAAGTCCTTAACAAGAGACCCTGCCATTTTAACAAATGGTCTTTCTCCCTTGAGCGCTGGATTCCTCATGTGGGTGAATCCTTCCCAAACAACATGATCTTTTCGATCAGAATCTCGGGTATCCCAACTCACTTCTGGTTGGAGGAGAACTTCAAAGCCATCGGGAAAAAAATCGGAGATATGAAGGCTGTAGATGCTAGAGCTGCCAGGGTTCAAGTCTCCTCAATGGGGATGAGCCTCTCAAGTTTACCGCCAGAGCCAGACTCCAATCTGGAGAAATTGTTAAGGTCAAAATGAAGTATGAACGCCTTGACAGATGGTGACTTAAATCCTATAGTTTATTTGGAAAGCAAGGAACAAGAAAATCTTTAACGGGAAAGAAATTTCCCCGGAAGACACCTGGATCTACGCAAAGGTGAAAACAGAAAGTTGGAGAACGGCAAACCAACCTGAAGACGACGATGACGCTCACATTGAGGAGTTGGCCCCCCCTCCGTCCCCGATATCGCTACCCAAGGAACCGCATATCCCGATATGCCGGATTGATGCTTCTTGGATCAATCACGAACAGGTTGGCGGCCTCGGTTCGGCCCCTGTTTAGAGAAATTGGGGAATTGGGCTTCCCGAAGCCCAATTTTGAGACTTAGATGTTTTTTAGTCAGTTAAACTCATGGGGGTGAAAACCGACCGCAACACCTACTTGTTTTTAAGGAGAACAAAAGATATATACTTATTTAGTAGACGTAATTATGAATATCGATAGGATATCAAATAAACTATCTGGAGCAACACATTCACGACAAACAATCTGATAATTAATATTAACATCAATGTCGGTTAGGGTTAGTTTCATAATTTGATAAAAGTTATGATTATTATAGATACATAATGATTATTATACGCTTCATGGTTATATATGGGATGGATAGCTATGGAATTTTTTTTTACATATAATTTAAGGATTTTTGCAAAAAAATTCTTGAAATGAATTTTTTTTTCCAAGTTTATTCTTAATTTGTAAAAACTACATGTCCCGGCCCAATTAATTTATACAGAAAAACTAATTTTTTAAATCTCATTTATATAAAAATTTAATTGTTTGGGCCTTTATATCAATTTTTTTTTTTACAAAAAAATCTTAAATTCTACTAAATATTGTATTATTTTGGGCTAAATTTATATTAATTTTTTTAAAAACAGGTTTTTTATACAAAGAACTTTTTGAAAATAACATTGGACCTTTGGACCGTCGTACCTCTGCCATATCCTCTTTGGCTTGGCCTGGTTAAACTTATGAAATAAAATTTAACCTAGAATGTAACTTACTGTCACCAACATAAAATTTGTTAACTTATGATAACTTATATATCAAATCGAAGCTTTGCAACAAGGAGTTGGAAGCTATTATTAGAATTTAGAAACTCTAATATATGTGACTATAAGGGTTTTTCAGATATACGAGATGTTTAAATTTGATTTCAGGTATAAGGGTTTGATCTACATTTTTTTTTGCCAGTTAAAAGTACATTTGCAAAATCTTATTATTAAAAGTTTTTTTTTTTGCAGAAGATAGTCTTATTTTTATTTTCGCATCGAGTCCATCTTGTTTAGTACTGCCATTTGAAATCATATAAACTCTTTTTTTTGTCTGTAAAAAATTTGGACAATTTCTCAATTTGTGGATGTCATCTTTTCGCAGAGGCCATGCTATTCTTCTCTGTATTGTTCTAATTTTATCGGATGTTCCCAAAGGGTCATAGACTCTTTAATATGATATTGTAATTATAGTTTTTATTTTGGTAAATATATAACTAATATTTTTTTTCAGTTTACTTAATACATGTATATCAAATATATCAAAGTTTGATACTATAATACTTGATTTGAGATAGTGAATTTTTGTTTTTAAATAAAAAAGATATTTTTTTATTCTAGTTTTTTTATATAACATTGAAACAAGACTTAGCAATTCATAAAACAGCCCTCCTCCGGAGAAAGCCAATCAGGAACCGCTGAGCCGACATGAGAGTATTTGATCCCTCTCGCTCTTGCTTTTTTTTTTGCGAGCCAATCCGCCTTGGTATTCAATCTTTGGGGAATTTGGATGAGAATAAATGAGACAAGAGAACCACGTAATGTTCTGAAATCTTCGAGTTCTAACGCAAACGTAGGCCAGAGTTCTGACGCAAACGTAGGCCAGTCATCGGGACATTCACTCATCTCAATAAGATCAGCACGGTCTGTTGCAATGACACCACAGTTCAAACCTTCTGAGAGAATACACTTCATCGCCCAGATGAGAGAGTCGAATTCAGCGTGAAGGGGGGACAGACAGCGATTCGATCCCCTCAGACCAAGGAGAAGGATCTTATCTCTACACGAAACGTGCCACCCGTGGCCGCTTACAACATCAGATCCAATCCACAAACAGGATGAAAATTGGTTCCTGGGAGACAGGAATTCCTGGTTCCAGCCGACGATCTTCAGGAGTCTTTTGGTTACTCGCCAAATTAGCCTTACGGCAATCCTCCTCTTCATGCCTAGCATGCTCGAGAATATCAGTTGGAAGTTCCATCACATTATCAAAAAAATTTCGATTTCTCGCTTTCCAAATGAACCACATGACCCATGGGAAGATGTGTAAATTCTCCTCGCCAGCACCAAATTCCATAGCTTTCCAAAACAGGAAGTCCATATTATGGAAAAGAGATGGCTGAGGGAAGACGCTTGGCACAGACGGGATCACAGAAAAAGCTCAGACCTGTCTGGATGGAGGACACTCAAAGATGAGGTAGTTTATAGTCTCTTCCTCTGCTCCACATCTGGGGCATTCCTTATCTCTGCCTATATGCCGGCGTTGAAAGGTAGCCAGACAACCCGAGATACATTGCCACACGAAATGTTTAAGCTTCCGAGTAGTTTTTAGTTTCCATGCTTGTGCCTTTAGTACCAAAGTACAAGGTCCCTGAAGAGAGGGTCCACACGCAAGACGAGATAAAGCTCTCGCGGACCAATATCCTGATTTGACAGAATAATTCACAGATTTGGTGAGAGTCCAACTATAGCCATCTCTAGAGACAGTCTGGCTTGGGCGAATGCCTAAAATAAGAGAAATATCCTTGGGGGGAAAGAGTTTCCGGAGTCGTTCCATTTTCCATTGCTTGGACTCAAAGTCGATCAAAGAATTCACACAAAGAATAAGGTCTCGCACGGCTTGGATACCCCGAGGAGGACGGGCCAGAGTGTCTGGGATCCATGGTACCACACAAAATGTCCAAAGCTGGAACCAATGGTCTTTCGAATACCCAAGGCTAGGAGAGGCTGAGCTGCCATAATACTCCTCCAACCGTAAGATGGTCGATTTGAGACCTTAATCTCCAACGGATTGCAGTATTTGAAGTAACGGTCTTTAAGGAGCCGACTTAGGAGCGAATCCAGAAATCTGAGTATTCTCCAGAGTTGCTTGGCTAGTAATGCAAGGTTGAATTCTTCAATGGTTCTGAAACCCAAACCACCATCTCCTAGCTGAATGCATAATTTGTCCCATGCTTCCCAATGAATACCTCTACTGTCCGCCTTGGAGCTCCACCAGAAGTTGGCTGCATGTGGCACTACTCAGCTTCATACGAATAACCTTTGGGAGAAGGAAACACAACATTACATATGTCGGAATGGCCTGAGCCTGAGACTTAATAAGAACTTCTTTCCCCCCTTTGACAAGAGTTTGGCTGACCAAGAGTTGGTGCGCTTCTGTTATCTGTCCCGAACAAACGCAAAAACTTGAGATTTCAACCCATGTAACTTCTCAGGGATTTCTAAATAAATACCCATCCACCTTCCTGAGAGATACTGACAATGGATTTGATGTGTTGTTGTGTCTTGGTCGGGACGTCATTTCCATAAATAATCGATGATTTCGAGAATTGATTTGCTGACCGAAAGCTTCTGCATAGGCACGAACAATGTCAATGACTTCTTTGCTCTGGAGAGAGTCAGCTTTACAGAAAAAGAGACTGTCATCCGCAAATAGTAGATGTGAGGTCGAGGGGCTCGTCCTTGCTATTTGAATGCCTTGAATTTTCTGATTATCTTCAGCCGCTCGAAGCTGAAAAATGAGAACCCTTGTACAGAGAATAATGAGGTAAGGCGAGATTGGGTCCCCTTGCCTAATTCTACGAGAGGGGTTAATATGACCTCAAGGCTCTCTGTTTACGAGGATTTTGTAAGACACCCTGGTGATGCAATACATAACCCATCCTATCATTTCTGTTCAAAACCCATCTTTTCCAGAAGAGGCTGAAGAAAACTCCATTCCACTCAGTCATAAGCTTTGCTCATGTCTGTTTTGATTGCCATAAATTTTCTCATACAAGAGGGATTAGAGCGTAATGCATGAAAGTTTTCTTGGGCAATAAGGATGTTGTCTGTAATCAATCTACCAGCCACAAATGCCGATTGAGTCTCGGAAATAAATTCTAGAAGAACGTTTTTTAGTCGAAGGATCAGGACCTTTGAGATGACTTTGTAACAAACGTTGCATGAACTAATAGGTCTGAATCCAGTCATTTCTCGCGGTTTATCCCCTTTAGGTATAAGTAAAATGTTAGTCGCATTCAGCGTTTTATCAAAGGTACCAGACTCGAAAAAAGACTTGACTAGGTGCACTAGATCAGTCTTCACCGTGGGCCAGAATTGTTGAAAGAAAAGGGCTGTCATCCCATCTGGCCCTAGGGTTTTTGACGGGTTAAGGGAGAAAAGAGCTCGTCGAACCTTATCCTCAGAGATATCGCGGGTGAGGGTCGCATTTATTCCAGGCATAACTTTCGCGGGAACATCCCGGAGAACGTCAGATGGGTCTCTTGGTCCCGACGAAGTGAAGAGGGAGTCAAAGTACTCAACTGCTATCTTCTCGATTCCTGCTTCGTTATCAATCTATACACCCGATTGATTCAGAAGACCAAGGATTCAGTTCCTTGCGCGCCTTTGTTTAGTAATGGCATGGAAATATTTGGTGTTTTTATCTCCATCCTTAAGCCAGAGAGCTCGGCTTTTCTGCTTCCAGTAAACCTCTTCTTCTCTATACGCCTCACATAATTGTTGTTTAAGATTTTTCAACTCTTCCAACGAGATCGAGTCATCTTGGTCGGCGTTATCTATATCAATCAGGAGGTTTTGGATCTTTGTCTCTTAGTTCGTCTTAATTCCCTTCTTCCAGGAAGAGATTGATTGACATCACTTTTTCAAACGACAAACAAAGGAGCCCTGAGGAACAGGATCAGGCGCTTTCCACCCATTTGTAACTGCTTCTTCTAGGCCCGGCTAACCAATCCAACGTTTATCAAAACAAATCGATGGATAAATTGCGGTGGAGAGGAGAGGATAGAAGCTATTAGGGGCCTATGATCAGATCCCCAAAGATGAAGATACTCCACAGAATTGTGGGAGAAAATGTGGTGCCACTCCTCATTGCCCATTGTTCGGTCCAACCTGCATTTGACAATGCCGTTACTTCTACGGCCCACCCAGGAGAAAGAATTTCCACGGAAAGGGAAATCCAACATTCCGCAGTTGTCGATCATAGCACGAAAGGATAAGAAGGAAGTTCTGATTGTTTTCTACCTCCACATTTCTCGTGATTCCCAGTGATCTCATTAAAATCACCGATAATGAACCACAGATTGGAGCGAGAGATACCAATTCGATTTAGTCTCTCCCAAACATAATCTCGATTTTTAACAACAGGATCCCCATAGATAAATGTCATAAAAACTCTATTGCCATCAATAAGAGATTCTACATCAATCAAACGATTATCCAAAATAAGAGTTTTAACCGGAAAGTCATTAGAGTACATAAGAGCGAGACCACCACTATTCTCTAATGGGTCGACAGTGAGAAGATTATCAAAACCTAAATTAACTTGCATTGATTGCAGAAAAAGTGATCATTTTTTGTTTCCGATAAGAACATGAAACCTGGAGAGTACTTCTTACATAACTCCTCCAGTCGACGGGCTGTACGTTCAGCAGCCACCCCTTGGCAGTTCCAGGCGAGAATCTTCATACCGGAGGCTCCGGTGGCTTACGGATCCACCGAACCTGTCTTGTTTTTAGCCGAGATGATTGATTTGCTGATCGGGATCGAAGTTGGAGCTGAGTTAGAAGTCAAAGTTTGATGCTGAGTGGGAAGAGCTTCTCCGATGAGAGTGCTAGTTGAAGGACGAGAAGTTGGAGCCGAGCGCTTCTTTGGAGAGATCTTTCCTTGGTAAGTCATGAGCTTCTTCAATGCTGCTGTGCTTGCTTTTGGACTCTTTGGGATCTTCTTCTTGATACTAGGTTTCCCATTTCGAGCTAGAAGAATGATTTTCTGCTGCTTCCTATCCTTGTCTTTAGATGGGGACCTCTCACGTTTGCTGGTGGGAGATTGAGAAGAGGCTGGGATCGCCTGATGGGAATGAGAAATCGGCACAACAGCCTCAGAGATCGTCCTTTCCAGACTTTCCACAATGTCTCCGGCGGCCAGATCTTCTTCCAAGAGATCATCGTTGTTTGCTAACTCATACAACATCATCTCCCTTTCACATTGATCCAGAATTCTGAGATCCTCTTCAGTAAGCTCAATATCTTCCACATTCTCATCAGCTAACTCCTCCCAATTAGAGGGAACAAAACCTTGCGCCAAGTTGAAGTCCTCACCATTCCGAGCCGAAGCATCTGTGGTGGATATCAAAGCTATGTCATCAAAAGGAGGAGAGAG